ACCTCTTTGCAAAGGGAAAGGAGAAAGTGAGAATACATGATGGTGTGGGGATGTGATGGGGTTTGGCACTGGGATCCCAGCTGGGGGTTTCCAGCCGTGCCCCACGTCCTGCCCCAGAGCAGACCCTGCCCCACCGCACTCGCCCTCCCCGCACGCCAGCGAGAGCCCCCGGCTGTTGGCTTGGGGTAGGGACAGGGCTGGAGGGGTGGGCAAGGGGCCGGGCCACCCCAGGTGGGACACGCTCTTACCCAGTGCCGGCACCGCAGCAGGATTTCCTGGAACACCCTCATGGCCATCTGCAGGGTGGGGAGCGGCAGGAGGGGCCCCGATCCTGCAGGCAGCGCGGGGTCCAGCAGCAGCTCGGCCAGGCCCCCCAGGAGCAGCCCTATCTCCTGGGAAGAAGCAGAGGGTCACTGGGACCAGCAGCAGGGCTGCCCCGTTCCTCTCCTGCCCCACCATCACTGCCACAAGGAAGCACAGCGGGTGCTGCCGTCACCTCCCCCAGCATGGGTGCTCTCGGTTGCTGGCACCATCAGGCAGCGTGGCCGCCGGCATGCCCGTGAACGTGCACAGGCTCTGCGGCACGGCGGTTTCCCAGCCAGCCGCAAGGCACGTGTGACGGAGATGGCTTTTTTCCAGGCAGCCACTGGAAAAGCTGCAGAGAAGCCGGGATGGGCGGCTGTCGGAAAGGAGCCGTGACGGGTGGCTGCGGGGCTGCAAGCCGGGGAGCCCGGCACTGCCACAGCTGGGGTCTGTCAGTGCCTGGGAATCAGCTGGGCTACATAAGGGCAGGCAGGGAGGTGGTTGCATCCTCCCTGGCCGGGGAGCGAGGATGGGTGCAGCAGCAACCGAGGTAAGAGCAGAGATTCCTCCTTGTTCATCCTCGGGGAAGGTGAATGCCACAAAGGGGAGCTGATGGGTGCTGTGCCGGGCTGCCCCTCTCCCCGGTGCCATGGGGAGGGATGCCTACCTTCACTGACACCCAGCAGCAGGTCAAGATCAGGCTGTGCTCCTCTGACAGCAGGACTGAGTCCTCCTCCTCTTCCTCCTGCCCCCGGCCTTTCCCCAGCATGATGAGGGAGCCGATGGCGTTCCCCATGTCTGCAAACGATGGGGCAGCAGCTGCAAGAGGGAGAAGCCTGGTCTGAGTGGGATGGTGTGGGGCAGAGGGAGGGGGATGCTGCTGGGGGTTTGGGAGGACCCATGGCCCCCTGTTCAGAGTGTACACAAATGGCACGAGGTCCTGTCCTGCCATGAGTCCCGCTCAGGACTGCGGTTGCGCTTTGCCCCACTGCTCCTTCCATGCCATTGCCGTAAGGGCTCTGCCAGCCCTTGCTCTCCCAGCTGCTCCAACTGGGCAAGTGCCTTGCTGCTTCTGGAAGGCTTTTGCCTCTACTTCTGCTGCTGTTCTCACTTGCAGTTGAAAAAGGGACCCAAAACCAGGTGCTAGACACTCTGTTCCTGTAGTTTCCAGGATCCTCTGCCCAATACCTGAAGCATCCTTGCCCGGGTGACCTGCTCTGGACCTTACTCCCCTGCCAACCTTCCCTGCCCGACTGCGCTGCTGTCCCCTGCTAGAGGCAGTGAGCCCAAAGCAAGTGGCTTCCCCGAGGCTGGAGGGCTGCAGGGTCAAGGATGGCTGTGATGGACGTATCAGTGGTTCCCGCGGCCGGTCCCCCACCGGGGACACGCTCACCTTCCTCATCGGTGCCGGGGCCTTGCCGGCTCTGCAGAGCACCCAGGAGGAAGGAGGTGATGTCTCTCGCCGTGGTCACGAGGCGGGTGAGGAGCTCCTGCCAGCTCTGCACCAACTCCGCTGCCTGCATGGAGGCGGCCACCTCCGGCACCTGGAGCAGGCACCTCCGCAGGGCTGCGACGGCTCCTGCACGAACACCCACCTCTGGTCACAGCGGTGGCCGGTGCAGCCCCAGCTCTCCAGCCTGAGCCTGCAGCTGAAATGGCTCATGGACAGGAGGGTGAGCAGGGCCCCTAGGCGAGGGGCAGGTGGCGCAGCAATACAGGGAAACTGAGGCAAGGACATGGCATTAGCACCGACTCGTGGCCCCAGTCCTGCCTGTATGATCCCTGCCTGCTCCAAATTCCAGGGGAGGAGACTTGCTGCAGGAGCCACTTGCTGTCCTGCCAGGCTGGGGCCGTACCATGCATCGGCGCAGTGGCTGCTGCCTGCAGCAGGTCCCGGCATGCCGCAGCGTACTGGGCTTGCAGCACGTGGAGAAGGTGCTGAGCGAAGCACAGGCCTCGGTTGGGCAGCGTCAGGGCTGCTTCAGCCTCCAGGGCCAGGCTCTTCATGGTCCCACTGTCTGACCTGGGGGAAGAGGCAGATGCTGCTGCGAGGATGAGGGAGTTTTCTGCCCATCTTGTGCTATGCGGCTCCTTCCTCCCCCAGTGCAGGCTCCTGCACCCCAACCCTACCCAGTTCCCCGCTGCAAGGCTATTTCAAACCTAAGCCATTGCTGCCCTGAGCTATAAATGCAGACTCTGGCGAGATACCGGTGCTGTCAACATGCTCTTAGGGGCTGTCGTGCCACTGTGGGGAAGGGGAGGCTGGGAGCTCATACTTCTGCAGGATGGTCTTCATCAGCACGGCTCCGGCTTCAGCCTCCTGCACTCGGGGGCTGCGCAGGGCGTCCTGGGCCAGCTGGAAGAGGGCTAGGGCGATGGGCTCGGGGAACGTGGCGGGGAAGTAGCGGACGAGCAGCTCCGAGGCCAAGTCTCTGATCTGCCAAGACAGGAGAGGCGGAGGGAATCGGCACGTGGGAGCAGGGAAAGTGGCCAGAGTAGGGCAGGAGGAGAAGCATGGTGGGCTTCCCCTCCGAGCCTGTTAGGGGCCAAGGCGGGCATCTTTACGACCTCACCTCGGCTTTACGAGGCTCACCTCATTAGTGCTGTCCTGCAAGCAGCTCAGCAGTGCCAACAAATTGGGCTGGGAGAAGAAGTCCCAGCAGCCGCTCTGCCTGGCGTAGCTCAGGAGCGTGGCCATGGTCCCTGCAGCGGGGACACGGGGCAGTGGGACGGGGTCAGCGGGGAGCACCCCCACAGCCGAGAGCTGATGCTCCAGGCAGGCTGCCCGTACTCACGCGGGGGCTGGCCTTTCTTCCTCTCGGGGCTCCAGGTGTCTGTGCAGGTCTCCAAAACAGCAGCCAGAAGGAGCAGAGCTGTCTTCTTCCTCTGGTAGTTGGAGCCCGGGCTGAGCGAGGTGATGCTGAGCTGCAGCAGCCACTCCACAAAGCCTGCGGGCAGAGAGTGTGGCAGCGAGTGATGCTGGGCTGGGCACCCACATGCGAATTCCCCAGGGCTGTGATGGAGGTGCTGCGGTGGCCACCTCACCTACTGCCTGGGCGAGCTGCCCCGCTCCCTCGCCTGGCTCGGTGCCTCGGGGCACCTTCCCTCGCAGCTGGGCCAGCGAGCTGTCCCGCAGCCGGACCAGCGCCTTCCTCACCGCCGCCTGCAGCAGCTGCCGAAACGAGGAGGAGTCGCAGTTGAGGTTGAGGGGCAGGAACTCCCGCAGCAGCCGCACCTCGGTGCCCGAGAGGGACCGGTTGGTGCTGGGGCTGCAGCAGAGGAGACCCAGTGCCGCCAGCCGAATGCCTTCCTCGCGGGCACCCAGGCAGCAGGAGAGCCGCTCCAGCGCCTCGCCCCGCAGTGGCAGGGCCCCCGCCACGCTCTTTTGTGCCTTCAGCAGCAAGACCCAAGCCCGGAGTGACGCCGTGTCCTGGCCACCGAACCGGGCGGCCAGCGGTGCCTGGGTGGCTGGGAGCTGCCGCAGGGTCCAGGCGAGGAGGTGGTTGGCGGCGTTGCTCTGCAGGATGGGCAGGGGGGAGCGGAGCGCCTGGGAGAGCAGGGGCAGCCAGCACAGCGCCCACCGCTCTGCCAGAGCTGACTCTGTGTCCCGGTGCCCGTCCTGCCACTCGGCACGCTGCTGCCGCACCAGGGCCTTGTAGACCTCAGTGGCTGCAGGACAGAGGTGGTTGGTGGAGAGGCAGCTCAGGAGGTGCTGCAGCAGGTCCGGGTAGGCATCCAGCACCTGGGAGAAAGGCAGACGACCCTCATCTCCCTGCCAGGCTGAAGGCTGCATACAGTAGGAGACAGATCTGGGTACAGACCACGCTGCGGCCACCCATGGCACTAAGCATCTCTGGTACCCCAAGCTGCTTTTGGCCAGATTTTGGTGGGCATCAACAGGCAAAGCTTCCCTCCCCGCTAGCAGTCCCAGGGATGCATCACTGTTGCTGCAGCTCTCTACCCCACCAGGGATACTATCCCTTGGGTGATGCTAAAATGCAACCCCCCCCGCCCCCAGCTGGGAAGGCTGCCTGCCCACATGGCTGAGCTGGGCAGGGGAAGGTGACAGGCAGCAGACAGAGGCTGTGCCACCCCGGCAGCAGCACCAGCCAGGACAGAGCCTCCCCGTCCCCCCATTTTCCCTACCCGCTGGCTGCCCACATAGGGGACGATGGCACACAGGGGTACATATTTGGCTTTGATTTGCCACGGCATCGAGACCACCCTCTGCAGCGTCTGTTGGTAGAGGGGTCTCTCCTGGTCCTGGAAGTGCTGGCACTCAAGGTGGTAGATCTCCAGGAGCAATCGGAAGGAGCTGTGGATGAACTCAGACACCCCTTCCACCTGGGAGGAGAAGGACAGCAAGCAGGAGCGGTTAGGGTGGGCTCCCCCTCCTGCATCAGGAAAGACCCTTTGTTTTCCCATGGCTGTGGACTTTCAGTACTGGCTGGTAACCACAGGATTAGGAGCTGGGGACGTGGGGATGACAGGCAGTGAGCTGGCAGATGTGGACAGGCTGGGACTGCACCAGTGGGTGCTGCCTGGGGAGGGCGAAGCACTGGGACAAAGCCAATGCAAGGCCGTGTGTGACAACTGCCCCGGCCTCAGCAGCGTGTGTGCCCGTGCCCCTGCCAGAGGGCAGCTGCAGGAAAAGGGGGTTGTATTCGGTTGATGGAGCTGAAACAGGCAGGGGTGTGCTATGGGCAGGGGAACGGTAGCTTGAGCCGCATGAAGGAAGGGCTGTTTCTGGCTACCGTGGCACAGGCCTTCGGCAACCCCAGCCTTACCGGGGTCTCGGCGTTGTCCCACACCAGCCGAGTGAGCTGCTGGAGCAGCTCGGTGTCCTGGGCCAGGATGCGGGTCCCTGTCAGGTGCCAGACGGCAGGCAGGCTCTCCTGCAGGCGCTGCAGCCACAGGGCACAGGCTGCAAAAGCAGAGAGCTCCGCTGCAGCCCTCACCCCGAGACTCGTTTGCGGCAGAGCCGACACGGGCTGCCGGGCTTAAGGACCCCGTGTGCAGGGGGAGCAGTTTCCCTGTTAGGTACACAAGAGCCCAAGAGGGTTAGTGTCCATCAGGCTGGAGCAGAAATTAATAGCAGCTTCCAAACCAGCTACTGAGATCCAGAAAAGCATCTTCCCTGGGAGAAGATGAAGTGCCATGGCGGCTCCATGCGTCACAAGCACCGTGAACCTTTCAAACCTCCCCGCCATGGCAGGGTCGTCGTCTCCTACCTTGGAAGCAGTAGTAGTGGCAGTCCTTCTGCTCCTTGGTCAAGGCACACACAGCGGGAAAGACCACGTCCAGCAGCAGGCAGGCCTGCAGGAGCACAGCGGCTCAGGGAGTAGGCAGGCGCAGGCTTTCCAGGGTGCGAAAACCCCGCCACGAGACAGGCGAGGAGAGCACTGCCTGGTTTTCTTGCTCTTACAGCAGCTTACTGCTAGCTTTTGCTCCCTGTCTGGAAGTCCTCAGCTCTTGAGGACTTGGGAGATGCTGGAGATGGGCAGAGCTGAAGGCTGTGCTCTGCCCAGGGCAGCCCCGGGTTCACGCTGCGGGAACACCGGGCGAACACTGCTGCCGCTTCGCTTGTGCGGGGGCTACTTTTGGCACTGCCTGGCTTCATGGCCCCCCCAGGAGAGGGAAATCGCCACTCAGATGTCTTTGGAAAAAGCAGGCTCCTGGCTAACTTGCCATGCTCAGCGGGATGCATGGAGCTGCTGGTGTGGAGCGGTGCAGCCTGGCTCCATCCCCCAGGGATCCACAGCCCCCACCAGTGGCTGCCAGCCCTCTCCAAGGGCTCCCTCAAGCCCTGGCCGTTGGGTTTGAGCTCTCCTACCTTGTGGGTGAAGCTCTCCAGCTGGCAGCTAAGGATGTCCGTCCTGCAGCATGTCAGCAAACCTCTAGTGAGCACCAGCTTCTCCAGCCCATCTGGCTCCAGGACAGGAGGGGCTTCCACCGCCAGCTCCCCAAACTTCAGCTCCCCCGCGCCTGCTGGGAAATGACTGCATTGGATGGCAGAAAGATGGCAAACTCAAATGCTGCTCTGAGAGCAAAACTGCGCTGGCTCATCCCGGAGTGACCATGGGAGGTGGCCAGTGGCAGCTGGGGCTCCTGGACCTCAAGCAAAGGACACAGCAGCAGAGTCTGGCGTGGACTGCTGGTGAGTGGCACCAGCCTCTGTCCCCTCACATGCAAACACCATGTCGCCAATGTCCCCTTCACCAGAGGCCAGTCCCGGCTCAGGATGGAGTACGCACCTCGGTCAGAGAGCTGGAAGAGGGCCAGCATGGCGCTAGCCCCGTGCTGGGGCTGGGGGGCTGTGTTCACCAGCATGCTCAGGGCCGTGCCTGCCAGCAGCCTCGTGTCCTTGTTCGGGGCCTGGACTCGCAGGGGAGGCAAAGGCACAGCTCAGAATGCCATTTAAAACCAAACCCCATTTAACCGCCCCCTCCATGCCCATGCAGGCAACTACACAGGGTCCATCAGACACCCCAGACACTGGGGCTGTCTCTGCAGACTTCCCTCAGGAAGGGGAATGGGGAAAGCACCCGGGAAGGACTGCATCACTCTGCTCCTCAGGACAGACAGCAGTATCCCTCCCCGGGGCCGTACGCACCTTCCCCCACGCCACCTCTAGCAGCAATCCCAACAGGCTCTGCAGGGTCTCGCTCTTCCCCGCCGTGCTCCACACCAGGGGGGCCACGTCCTTCGGCAGCGCCTGGAAGAGCTGGAGGCAGGCCTGGAAGAGCCGGAGGGATGGGGTCCACAGGGATGGCTGTCAGTACCCCTTACCTCTGAAAATGCAGCGATTCCCCAGGGATGGCCATTCGAAGTGGCTCTGTGTGTTACATCCCTCCTGGACATCGCTGCCAGTGCCCGGCCATTCCTTGTAGGGACTGATCCTTCCCGCTCTCTGAAATTTAGCTCTTACCTTGATGACCAAGTAGTCCCACGTACCGCCAGGTGCAGGCTGGCTCTGCAGTACCCAGCGCAAGGTGGTGGCCAGGCGCTGCAGCAGCGGGGCCAGGTTCTGCCTCCAGTACTGTCGGCCCAGGCTGCTCTCCTCTATGAACATGCAGACTGCGGGCAAGGGGACAGCATCAGCTCCCGAAACTGTGCCTGCAGCCAGCCCTGCTCCTGGTTAAGCCCAAGGGTAAGCGGGGTGAGAACGGGGCTGAGATGCAGGGGGTGCTTTGGCTTGTCTGGTTTCCAGCTGTCTCAGGTGGGTGGGCAGAGCCATTGGGTGCCGCTGGGACCTCTGCAGAGATCCCATGGATCCGGCTGATCCTTGCTCCCCCTCCCACGAGCGCAGGAGGACCCGGTTTGGGTGGGCAGGGGGTGTCCCATGCATTGGTGGTGTGGGCTGGGAGAAGCTCCCGGAGGGGAAGGAGCAGAGACTGACCTGACTGAAGGTCCCCAGGAGACAGCACCTGCAGGGGTTAGAAGGACAGTTTGTCCCACGTGACGACACGCTGGGGCTCAGTGCCTTGGGCAGGAGGGTCCTGCCTGCACCAGAAGCTGTCCCGGGGATGAGTAAATGGCTGGTGTGATGGGCAGCCACGTGTCGCCGGCTGCAAGCAAGGCCAAACCCCCGGAACGGTGGGAAGAGAAGCAAAAGACCTCGGGCAGCCCAAACCAGGAGGTCCCTGTCACACACGGGCTCCAGCCAAGCCCCCGTGAAAGCCAGTGCCACCGCACAACTAGGATGCTCTCACCTCTCCCTGCGGTGCCAGGCCAGCCAGCAGCGCGCCCACCTCCTGGGCCAGCAGGGCTTCCTTCCCCACCGCCAGCTGGGTCACGATCTGCCGAGAGACACCCCGAGTCGGCTGGTCTGCCCAGACCCCCGAGAGATACCAGCTGCGATGCGCTTTTAGGGGAGTTCTGCGGCATCATCGTGGCCTCTTTGCCGGTAAGGATGCACTGCACCGGAGCTGTGCCGGCAGCAGGCAGAGCCAGGTGAGACCATCGCTTACCCTTGTGGCTAAGAGAGCTCTGAAGCCGCAGCCCAGCCGGTTGCGTTACAGACCTGTTCCAGTTTCTGGAAGGAGCTGGAGCTGCCGGTTGCCTCCATCTGGAAAGCCAGGACGCAGCGGAGCAGGGGCCGTGCCTCCGCCTCATCCAGCACCCGCAGACCCTCGCTCAGCACCCGCGACAGCAGGAGAGCCTCCTCCAGGTGCTTGTCTTTGCATCTCTTGGCAGTGCTCCTGAAACGGGATGGGGATGGTGGCGAGGGTACTCGGGCTCAGGGGGGATTGGGGTGGGGGATACCCCCAGCTCGGTGGCAATCAGGGTTGGGTGCGGATTGGAGTGGGGGTACCCCAGCTCGATTTGCATTGGGGTGGGGGTGCCTCGTCTTGGTGGGGATTAGGGTTGGGGTACCCCAGCTTGATTTGGATGGGGTAGGGGTGCCGCAGCTCGATGGGGCTTAGGGCAGGAGTGCCCCAGCCTGCGATGCTCCTCTCTCCCACCTGCACTCAGCATTG